TGAAGCTTCTTTTTTCTTTTTTAAAACAACACAAATGTTCCCTTTTTAATTTTTTTTTTTTTTTTTTTTTTTTTTTTGCATTTCCCATTTTGAAAAGTGACTAAGAGGTATTGGCTTCATGTCATATGTACACAGCACATGGGAAGCCGCAGGTCATAAATTGCTTAGTAAGAGTGCTTAGACATCCTGACAGGAAATGATGAATTATAAAAAATAAAAAAAAATGCACCAGGGTCCATTTATTTATGTTTTTTTAAAACTGTTTGCAACACTTGTGGAAACCCTGACGTTTGCTTAACAGTTAGTTCTTAATTTGCATGTATGTTAAGCATGTAATATATACACAGATGGGGTTTTTTCCCTGCATTTTTAGTGTGCCATTACACAGCTGCAATTAAAGATGGATTTATTTTACTGCTCCCCCCCCCACTCCCCCTTCATCTGAGAAAATGACACATTCACCCCACTGGGTTGTTTTTCATGGGCAGATGCTGAGCTTGTGTGTCCAGTTGAGAACACAGACCTAATTAAGTCTGCAGAAACGCATCCTTTTATTTGGCTCTCCCTTCTCCAGAGCCTTGCTTTGATCCTGTGATTATTACCAGGTCTTTGGCTCAGTGAAGCACTTTAGGGTGGGGAAGCATTGTGTCTCATGCTGACAGCTCCCAAACAAAATAACCCCCCCCCCCACCCCCCCGGACCGTTACAGCTGAAGCTCCCAGCTGGGATGTGAGTAAGTGCTGAGGTCAGTAAGAGAAGCCAGCTGCCTGTAGAGGTTTGTTTCTCTGCTGAGCACCAGCCAAACATCTGCAGATATCCTATAACGTTGCATTGAACATGTGCTTTCTGTATGCACAGTGGTCCACACTGATTGTAGAAATAGTGGATTCCACATGTAAATACCAAAGTGCAAGGGTGACACTTTTTTGTTGTTGTTGTGACGTTATGCTGATGTCTTTTCTGCTGTTGATTCAGTGTCGCCCCTCTATTTGAAGTCTTTGTACACCGTATTCATCGTATTTGACTAAATACTCGACTTTAGCCAAATCCAAGTTCTACCTATGAAGGACAAAATTGAGAAATATTACAAATATATTTCAAATATTTTGTTCTGAGCTGCCAGGCTGTGCATGAGCGAAAGCAGCCACCTTAAGAGAAGCTTTAATGGCAATTTTTTTTTTTAACAAAGATAAAATGTTTGCATTTTAAACTGGCTTTTAGAATCTTATATTAATTATTAGGCTATCATAGTATAATGACTAATGTTAAAGACTGCATTCTTTGAGTGTATCCTAACTAATTTGGATCCTTATTTTCTATAAATAAGGCTCTGTGAAGCAGTGGCATCTTCTGGAGTTTATCCTCACATGCCTCCTTGCCTCGTCCTTCTCATCTGCATCCATTTCTGACATCGTACTCAACAACTCTTCTAAGATATGTTGCATGCTAGACATTTGGATCAAGCCTTAAAGGAGCCCTGTGCATCACAAAGTGACTTTCTGACTATTCCAAGAAAAAGTCCTACAAAAAGTCACCAATATGACCAAGATGTGGTAAAATTTAGATCACTTAGTTTGCTGTGAAAATTACTTCCAGGCTTTCGAGTGTGCAGAGTTCATCCAAATAAAAAGTTTCTCTCGACCATTTTGTTTGTCTTGTACAGATTGAGAAGACAGCAGGCAGCGACTGAAAGCTTATAAAGGCCTCGAGTCACAGCAGCAACTCTAAGTGGAATAAAGATCCCAGGAAACTTCCTGGGTTCTTAGAAAATGAATTGGAAAAGAAATGAGACTGGCTGGAATGAGAATTTAATGGCAAGTTGACCTTGATTAAAAACACCACATTTTTACAGAATCACAATGCCTACCAAGAAGAAAAATAACTAGGTGTGATCCAATTAGTTTTGTTTTCAAAAAATGTACAATTATTCAATAATATTAGTAATATTACAAACATGTATTTCTTACAATTTTATGTTACATAGACTTACGCAAATAGAAACCTCTGGATAATAACCAAACTGGATAACTGAAGTTATAACTTTTGAGCCGAAAGAGGGATGATTTAGAGTCGGCGCACAGCTTCAGTTATTGCAGCTACAAACCAGCGACCAGGACTGAAATCTGGGTGATGAACCTTCAGAGCCACATCAAAACGGTTACAAAGCCGGCCTTCTGTCACCCGAAGAATGTCTCCAGGATGTGCTGGTCGCATTCTCACTAAAACCAGGAAGATGGAGCGCATCACCCTAGTTCTATTATCCTTGCACTGTCTCCTTGTAGCTCAGAGAAAAGATTTCAAAAATTACTGATGTTGGTTTATAGTTCACTGAACGGCTTAGCACCAAAATGCATTTAAAAAAATCTGCTGCTGTTGCCTTAACCGTTCAGACCATCGCAGGTCTTCCGGTTCTGGCCTGTTCTGCAAAAACAGTGGTAACGACTTCTACACTGAAGAGTGTTGCTCTGAGCAAAGTTCAAATTGTCAGATTCCAGGCACCAGCTAATTTTTCAGCACATCTCTTAACAAGAATGAAATCAAAATCGCATTAAGTCTATTAAAAGTCTAACCACCAATTAGTTTAAACTTGCAAGTGAAAGCAATTGTTTTTTTTCCCTATTTCTTTAGTATTTTGTCAACAGCGTCTGAACTCCTTTCTGTTCTGTTGTATCATGGAATGAGTTATTGATTGATATTGGATGTTTTGTCATTGTGTGGGCACAAGCCGTGGAAAGGTTTTTAATCGAAAATAACTCTACAGGCCTTGTTTTAATCTGTTTTCCTTCTCCATGCCCTCAGCTGCTTAGATTCATTTATGCAATCCTAAACCGGGTTTAAGTGTTAAATTGCATCAGATGCTTTATCTTCCATGCAGGGACGGCGGTGTTGGGACGGTTTAAGGCATGATTATTGATTCCTTTGTGTTTGATGAAGCCCCTTGAGGTCAATCGTAAGTGTTTGTTTTCTTATTCTTACTTCCCAGGGGGCTGTTTGCTGGTAACTATATGGAAACCCATTACCTGGAAGACGGCAGTGCAGTCACAGGCCCTCCCAACTTCACGGTACGTTTCCTTTTTATTTTCGGTAACAAAATGTGTGATGTTTTCTGGATTGCTACCAAGCATCTCAAATGAGAGCTGGAGTTCTGTTAAACTCTTTCCATGTGAATGTTCTGCTTCATGGTGATAATATAAGGGTGACTTGAGGAAGCAAAGTTAAATTGATATTGCAGCCACACTCCGTTTTTTTTGTTTTTGTTTTTTTTTAGGCCACCTGGAATTGCTCCGTGAGTGTAGGTGAGTGTAGGCCCATTTTCAGCAGGTAGATTCATATTTGATGGAATGAAGGCAGACAGAGGTCAGAAAATAGACTTCGTTTTAGGGAGCTGCTCAAGTCGTTTATAATGGATAAGCTTAAAACCTTTCCTAAAAATGGTTTGTTACGCAGGTCCGCACGAATATCTTGAATTAGTGAACATTTTAAGTGCACTTCAGAAGTCACGCCGACTGAAATATTCATTTCATTTATGAGCTTTGTACTGGGCAAATTGAGAAGGCGTATTTATATAAAATATGTCTGTAAAGCCTGTCAAATGGATTACAATGTTTCATAATCTCCGACTCTTATTACATTTTTGCACATACCTATAGTTGTCGTCCTTGGTCTGCTGCTGCACAAATTACTTTCTTTTTCTTTTCCTGTTTTTTTTTTGACATACTTTGCCATTTTGCTTCAATCCTATGATAAATATTGCTCATATTTATCAAGCTCAATTAAGCACCCCCAAGCAAAATATGTTCAGCATTTAAATACTCTGGGTCTTTGGAAGCATATTCCATGGATGCATAAATATCACACCAATAAATGCTCTTCATTCTGAGGTTTGGTACAGATAAAAAAGGTAATTATAGTAGCATGGAGCAGTTTCTACGCTTTGCAGCTCCACCAGCTGGCTTTATTTGAGAGGATTTGTTCTTCTGCAGTTCGGAAAGCAATTAAACGCTACAAGAAATCGTCAGAAACTCGGTGTGCATTTGAGCTCAATGGCTATTTGGTGTATAGCAGAAAGGCATAAGAAAGGGATTAATTGAATTACATAATGTGCAACCCATATGGTACAACAGACAATATATTCTACTTAAAATTGCTGTGAGACCAGATCTGCTGTTTCACCAGTGGGGCTCACCCAGCTCATTAAAATAGCTCTCATTCCAGAGCATAAAGACAATGAAGGAGTTGTATCAGCCCAGCCTGGTAGATTCTGAGAGACCCATACTCAGCTGTCCAACCATTGATATTAATATGTCAAGTGTGACGTTAACGTTGAGATGATAAACAGACGTGGAAATAACAGGCTTTTTCTCTGGCCGGTCTACTTTGAGATCTGAGCTTCCAGTAACAACTTGGATTGATACTCTGCACTTTCTTTGATACATGTACCATTTTTATTGTCATTTGAAAATGCAGAAATAACATGATTATCCCAATTCAGGTGTGAAAGTATTTTGT